CCATCAATGTTATGCAGGCAGTTATAGGCAGAGATTGGTTACTAATGGTTGATGCTAGGATGGACGGCTTGGCTAAAGTGTGGAGATACAATGGCAATGCAAAATGATCTTTTTTTAAATGGCTTTTCTGCTGATCAAAATAATTAGATTTTGCCAAAAAAATGAAAAAAATGCACGACCAGAGCAGTAGGGGGAAATACATGACACTGGGTAAGAGTAAGGGGTGAAACAGCTTTCATTAAACTTCATTGTACCTGAGCTAGAAATCCTGGACTTGAATCCTTCAAATATATTCCAGTCTCTGGCACTAACATCTGTCAGTTTGATCAGTAACAAATTTAATAGAAAGAAAGTGAAAAATTGGATGAACTCTTGGCCACATTCTTTGCATTAAGCATTCAAGTCACAAAATTATTTAGTGGAACTGTTCGCATGAATAGGAGGAAAGATAATAGGGCCAATAACGGTAAGATGAATCCTGCATTTTGACATGTTCATGGCTATGTTTTATTAATGTACTCATTATCTGTTAGAATGTATTCTGTCAGCAAGAGAAATGTATATGCAGCTCTAAATTTGTTTTCAGAAAACAGATGTTTGATGAAGAAGGACATTTAACTGAGATAGATAAAAGATTCAATACAAATAAGCTCTATAATTTAGACCTAAATAAGGTGAGAAGCAATGGTAAGTCAAACTTGGCAGCTTAGTGAAATTTCTTTGTGCTCATTAAGAACTTTACTCAGTAGAAACAACAATTAACCTGTTGTGATTTAGGATAAATGTGACTTGTACAACAGAAAGACTAAAAGTGTATAGGTCAACATTAATTTAAATTGTGGTTTTAAATAACAAATAAAATCAAACTGTGCTGCTAATGTTGAGGGGTTGCCCTTTCATAGAGCAGCCTTCAGCTGCAGCTAAAGCAAGGCAAAATGAGAGAGCCATAAAATTTGCCTGGAGTACTGGTTTCCCCAATCTTCTGCTAAGAGGCCAACTCCAGGAGCAGTGCAGTTCCACAATGCCAGCAGGATCTGACAATATCCTTAAGTGACTACTGTAACAATGGCTCAGTTGGCTATTTGCTACTTGTGAATGGCTGGCCCTGCCCATATCCCCATCCTGCCGCTGGGGAACTGATCTGAGGATGGCATGAAACCAGCAAGCTGGCATGTTAGTCAATGGTATAAAATACGCAGTCACCCACTTACTTGCTTGTCCAGTGAGCAACTAAAAATCTTGTCACTTATTTCAATATGGAAGTCCTTGAACATTGGTGGTACAAATTATGTGCCACTTCTGAATCAATTTTCTTTTGAAGTCTGAAGTGTTAAGTTAGTTTGATATTCACCAAACAGCAGTAGGAGTGCAAGAATAGGTGTCAGACTCTGGAGAGGACCGTAAACCCACTGTTACTGAGAAATTAATCTCACTAATATCTTTATGTTCCTTTGATCTCTAAGAATCTAACCTTGCAACTATTGAAAATCTCAAGTATCAGCCAGGGGCTTCAATGTGTTTAGCAATGATATCTGGGATAGTTTTATTTTTCAAAACATTAGGTAAGGGATCAAAGTATAGGTTGCTAGCCTGAGACTATTTGCATCACAGAAGGAAGTTGAAGGGGAGACATAGCAAACACTACACTGGGTTTATAAAATATTTTGGAAATAGAAATCATGTCAAATGAATGGACATCTGTCATTGTGTAAATGTTGAAAGTCGATTGTCAAGGATGTACTAGCAGAACATTTTGAGAAAGATAATATAATCAAGCAGAGTTAGCATGGCTTGATGAGGAGAAATCATGCCTGACAAATTTATTGGAATTCGTTGAGGGTGTAACAAGCCTGATAGATAAGGAGGAACCAATGGATGCAATATGCTTGGATTTCCAAAATGTATTTAATAAGGCACCACACATAAGGCAATTTAATAAGATAGTGTTGGGGAATTATTTTAACATGAATGGAGGATTGTCTAACTAATAGAAGACAGAAAGCCAGGATGGGGGTGGGGAGGTGTAATTTTCAGGATGGTACCTCAGAAGTCAGGCTGCTTGTCTGAATATTTGAATCAGACTGTATGCCTCATATTGTTTTTAATGTTCCAGTCTTAATAAAGGCTGGCTGCTTTCCTGGATCTTGGAAGCACAGCAACTAAAGAGAGGCAAGGAAAGTGCGAGCCACTTCCAAACTTCCCCACAAAAGTCATCTGTGGTATCACAGCCTATCAGGGATATTGTGTGAAAGAAGTAAACCATTCATAGAAATCAGAATGAGCAGGGATGCTTCTCATAGAAAACTAAGGAATTGGATGGATTAGATGTAGTCTCATGTACCTCCAGGCCAAACAAAAATATATTTAAAATAAATCAAACAGATAGACTGTATCATAAACAGCAAAATGGGGCAAATGTTGGAATCTGATATGAAAACAGAAATTTCTGAAAACTGAGTAGTTCAATTGGCATTTGTGGGCAGGGTAAGGTGCAGACCTTTCTTCAAAACAAACTACAAGTTAAAGAGAGGACATACCAAACATTCTGGGAAATTGAATCCTTACTACTGAGCCACAACCAGAATTCAATGAGATAGAGACAATATTACAGATGCAACATTTTCAAATATGTATCCAAAAAACACTTTTCATACCCCTTAAGAATCCAGTCCACAATCACACATGCAACAGACTGAAAGCTGTTAGATAACAATAAAATTATCACATTGAAATGTTGTGATTACAATTTTCCTGAATTCCTCCATCCTTTTCATTTCTTGAGTTATAGGTGTTTCTCCAAGTTACTTGTGCATCCTGTATTGTGAAGATCAATGCAAACTACCTGTTCAATTCATCTGCCATCTCATTATCTCTATTCTCATTATTCCCTATTATTAATTCTCCATGTTCCTTTTCTACAGAACAAATGCTTATTGTGTTAACAATTTGTAAATATTTACCAAAACTCTTACAATGTATTTATATATTTCTAGCTAGCTTTCTCTCACTCTAATTTTTCCTCCTCATTAATCTTTTAGTCTCTGTCTTGCTGTTCTTTATGTCCTGTGTAATCATTTAACCGACCACCCGTTTTTGTGCAATGATCTGCTTTCTCTGCAGGTTTTATACAATTTTTAACTTTTTAGGTTAACCATTTTGATCCACCAATTGGAATTTATTTATCTGTGTTTTCTGAAACATCTCCTTAAATGTCTCCCACTGCATTTCCATTTACCTGCCCCTTAGCTGATCTTGTCAGTTTACTGTAGGTAGTTCACTGTTCAATTTGTTAGTTCATGAGTCACTTCACCATAGGACTCTGCTTCTATGCCTCAAGAGTGACTTTATTTTATTTAAAAACATTAATCTTGGACCAATCTTCTCTCCCTTGAACTGAAAGTAAAATTCAATCATATGATGATCACTGCCACTCAGGATGCCTTCACCGAAAGATCATCAATTAACCTGATCTCATTGAACAACACCAGACTTAGTACAGCTCTCTAGATGGCTCCTGAATGTTCTGTTCTAGGAAGCTATCCCAAAAACATTCTATAAACACTTCACATAAGCTCCCTTTGCCATCTGATTTTTTCAGTCTCTTTGTAGATTAAAATGCCTTATAATTATTGTTGTACCTTTCTGATGTGCTTCCATTGTTTCTTCCTTTACGTTCCACCCAACCGTGTGCTTATTGTTAGGAGGCCTGTACACCACTCCCACATGTGACTTCTTGTTTTATAATTTTTCATCATCACTCAAACCAGTTCAAATTCTTTGTTTCCTGAACTTGTGGTATCCCTCTATTTTGCAAATATCATTGTCAATTAACAGAGTCACAAATCACCTTTTTCTAATTTCCTGTCCTCTTCAACATTCAGGTCCAAATCTACATCACCCTACAGCCATGTTTCTGTAATGGCTATTAGATCCTGTTTATTTATTTCTATCAACACTCTCAAGTCACCTTCCTTGTTTCAAATGCTGCATACACTCAAATACAGAACCTTCAGTTTTAGTAACCATTTATCATGGTTAAGCCATCTAACCTACACTTTCGCATGGCCAACCCACCAAACGTGCACATCTTTGGGCTGCGGCAGGAAAGCAGAGCAGCCAAAGGGGCCCACTCAAGCATAGAGAGATTGTGGAAATTCCACACAGCCTTAGGGTGGAATTGAACCCAGGTCCCTGGAGCTATGAGGCATCAGTGCTAACCACTGAGCCACTGTGCAGCCCACCTCTAGCCTTATCTGTTGGTTGACTCTTAGATTTGGACTGTTTGTCCCTTCCTGGCACAGTATATTTATCATTTCCTTTATTAATATGTTTCTTTACCAGCTCTACCTCTACACTTTGATTGACCACATCTTTATTAATTAGATCCCTTTACTCCGCTGTTTATTTTAAAATTTTTCCCTCTTCCATAGTCACACAGCGGAAAGGACATCAGCCCCTGCACAGTTCAGATGGAGACCAGCCCTTTGGCACAGATCCCATTTTCCTCAGTACTGATGTCAGTGGCCTGTGAACTGGAACCCACCTGTCCCACATTAATTTCTGAGCCATGCACAATTTTACTAATATTGTTTTCTGTGTGCCAGTTTGCATGTGACTCAGGTAATAATCTGAAATATTTACCTTCTGCTTCTTCATTTGGTGCCGAGCTCCTCATACTGACTATTCTTTACCATGTCTATGTCATTGGTATGTCAGAGACCATCAATTGGTTTGAGATTCTATTAGTGTCAGACTGGGCCTGCAAATGCCACAGATTAATTCATAACATTGGAATTTTAGACACTGCCTTTATAATATTTGCATTGTTAGTATAATATGAATATTCAATATGTGCAAGCATGGCATTCAGTTTCAAAGAATTTTGTAATGTCCTTATTAATCGGTACTATCATGTTAACCATTTCAGAAACATAAAATTGTCATTGTCCTCTCGCTGCTAGAAATTCACTGTTTTGTTTTCTGTCATTGCTGCTTTACAGGAGGAAATGGACACCAGCCCAATGGTATCATCCCTTCTCAGTGGACTAGCCAATTACACCAATCTTCCCCAGGGTGTCAAAGAACACGAAGAGGCTGAAAATAATGAGGGGACCAGAAAGAAGCAAGTCAAGGTAAAAAGAAAAGGGACAGAGAGTCACAGTGTGGTCATATTTCCATTTTTACGTTGCTTTTATATTTTATGGAAGCATTACCAGCTAAATAACCAAGGAGTTAGACAACAATCGAGTTCCTCTCTGAATCATTGTGAGGCTACTTGATTCTAATATCAAAGGTGATATGATCCAGTGTGGTGAAAAAATGATTTCAAGAAGTAGTATCAAATTCCCTTCAAGTTTTTGGCACTTTACATTTAAACCAATCCCAAATATGTTTATAATGTGTGGAAGTTTCTATCTTTTCTTTCAAAGCACCTCATTGTCCAACTTCAGAACAATTAACGTAATATTAGCTTAAACATCATGGAATTTTAAACACAACTTATTCTAACTTGAATTGAGTTTTGGTGATCCTTTGGGTTTGTTTACGAAAACATTGATCTGGAAGTTGGACAGACATTCGAAAATAAACACTCCCCTGTACCATTGATGTGCTGAGTCTCATAATTCACAAGATCAATATGTTTTGTTTCAAAATGAACGTGCCATTTCTTTACTTCTTTCAGCGTATATCCTAATTAAAACTCAACAGAAGGCTTTGGAAATTTTAAAAATAAAGTAGGCTATTATTTTCACACATTTATCCATAATTGACGTAGAATCACACACACTTGGTCTTGCTCACACATCCACATGCAAAGATTGGATGCAGATAAATGTCATGCAGTTTTACACATTACAGTAACCGTAATCTTTGATTTCTGATCTCCGTTGTCCCTTGCGACCGGCCTGAGTTCTTTTAAATGGATTTGATGACTTAAAAATTAAATAAGCACCTTTAAAACTGAAGGTTTCATAATGCGTATTGAAGTTTTTTGCAGTCAAATAGCTATGAGTTGAGTTCACAGGTGAAATTTAAACTGAAACAGGTTTTATACTTTGCCTGCTTGTCTCTGAAGTTTGAACTGATGGAACTGCTTGCAAACAGCTTCTGGCTGAAATATTAAACAAAAGAAACATGGCTGTCTCCATGTCAGTTTTTTTTTTACATGATCAAGTCTTTTTTCCAAATAGGCCATTTGTGTTGACTCCACATTCTAACATTCTTTGTTGTGAGTTAACACATCTGAGATTTTGACACAGTCACTGTCTTTGTTTTATGATGGCCCATTCAGTGTGATAATACCCCTTCCATATAATTTGGAGAAAGGCATTGATTCCCATCATTGGAAATATATTCTTTGTTTCCTCTCTAAGCTGGAGAGAGGGGTGATTCTAATCAACAAAAGAAGTCAACACATCATGGGCAGCCATTTTTTTCAGCCTTCCAGTTTTTTAAAGACACTATTAATGTGAAGTTCAGAATGCAGTATGGTGGTGTTGTGCCTGACATTAGACCAAAATAATCACTATTCCAAGTTTTCACTAGCTGTCCATTTTGTAGATCTTCAAGGAGACTTACCAGATTACTATTTTGGAGGAGAGTGTGTGAAAATGTATAATGGGTGCATTTTAAAAGATTTAGAATTGTTTTTATTAGTTATTAAGTTACTGAATTCTGGACACAAATATAACTAGCAGTGGCATTGTACTTTTTAAAAATAAGTTCCAGTTATTTAAAATCAGATTGTTTACAAGTGATGTGATTTAAAATGCTTAATTTTGAACTAGACAGTGCCAAGTTTCTACTTGTGATGTATTATAGGGTCATAGAAGTGTACAATCCATTGAGTCGACATGGGTCAAAAACAAGCACTTAACTATTCTAATCCTATTTTCCAGCAGTTGGCCCGCTGTCTTGTATGTGCCTTGCATACATAAATATATAAGCAAATGCAATTTTTATACACAATTAATTTCATTACACTGTTTCTAAGGGTGTAGAGGCAAAAACCCTCATAACATTTAAAAAGTGTTTAGATGTGCAATTGCAATGCCAAAGCACACCGGCTATGGGGTAAGTGCTGGGAAATGGGATTAGAAGATGGCTGTTTTTGACTGGGGCGGACTCGATGGGCCTTGTCCGGTGCTGTAGATCTCTGTGACTGTGTAGCTGTTCATGAGATATTCTGTAGTCAATGGCATAGAAATGAGTTTCATGGAATAAAAAGGGATATTGGAAAACTAGCACAATTTTGGATGATGTTGCACTGGGGTCGCTGGTTACATCTAATTTTATTACCTCAAGTTGAATGCCCTGTTGTGAAAGTCTACACAGGTGTATGTTTGCAGTGCAGGCTTCGTACTCATCCTGAAAAAAAATATTGTTCAACAGTACAAATGAGGCTTTGCCAGGTTGAGTAATTACTTCCACAGTGATTCCCTCATCGAGTATAATTGCTGATAACCACACAATCTGCATTTGCAATTTCATATTATTGCTGCTGTTTCATTAATAAAGGACAGCATACCGCTGATTTGGTAGAATTGGCACATAAGTTGATTTATTACTATTAAAAGTTTACTTCTGGTATTCTGCTTTAATTATAATAAAATTAACATTTGCTCATTGTCTATATTTTTGTTTTGACTGTAGAAACTTTACAGGTCAGAGGAAAGCATTTCCTGGGCCTTCAGTCTGTGTATAAGAAGAATTGCTTCCTTTTAAGTGCAAATTTATGTTTGTTATTGTAGACAAAGATTGAGGCACTTATTGTAAATATTTTTTGTAGCCTGTTCGATTCTCCCACCCCCACTTTTAAAAAAAAGTGCACTAAGAAAAAATCTAGACCAAATGGTATGAGAGCTATCCTTGATGAAATGCATTCAGAGTAATGATATACAAATAGACAATGAGTATTAATATTGTACCATATGGACTATGGACAGTAATGTTTGCACAAATGGATAGTGAACAACTGAACAGTCAAAAATAAATCTGGGTCAACTACAGTGAGATTAATAATTCTGAGACAAATGTGCTTTGAGTATAATTCTTTGAGTATAATCGTCTAACTCATCAATAGGTAACATTGTAGACCGAATGCATTATGAGTATAATCCTAGATAAAATAAACTAAATAACAAGCCTTCATAAAATGAATTTTAGTAATACTGGTGAAATGGTATTCACAGTGTGAAGTAAAGTCAGTGAAATTGCCATAATTTTGTCGGGAGCTGCTGTCTCATCAGAGACAGATGATTGGTGGTCGTTTTAACCTGAGGGTCACCACGACACAGGTGAGGGGCAAAGGTTGAGAAAGCAGAACCTTCATGGTGAGCTCAGCCAGTATAGAGTTGAATGCATGCCATTGATGTCTCTCTGACAGACTGGCCTTCCAGCCAACTGAGCAAATCGACCCTCGGTGTGTAGGAATAGCAAGTGAAAAGGACATTGAGTAATGAAATCAAACAGGTCTGAATAATAAATCTAGACTAAAATGAGATTTAGATATGAAATCAGTTGAGTGTTTTTGTTCTTTTAGTTGTAATGCTGCAAAACCAATTAGGACATCGTTTGTATCAAGGATGTTGAAGAAAAATATGCTCTTTGCAATAACAGCCTGCTTCAAGCTTTAAATATTATTTCTTGCTGCACTTACTGTTGTTCTAAGTGAAAGGGGTGTTTGGTGACAGAGTGGTAATGTTACTGGACTAGCAATCTCAAACCCCAGGCTAATGTTCTGAGGAAGTGGATTGGAATTCCACTGTGACAGATGGTGAAATTTGAATTCAATAAAAACTAGCCTAATAATGACCATGTAGTCATTGTCAATAGTTGTAAAACCCCAGCTCATTCACTCATGTTCTTCAGGCAAGGAAATTTGTCATTCTTACCTGGTCTGGCCTACATATGAATAAATGTTGGATTAGCGAGCGTCATATACATTCCATGGATAGATAAAAATGATGTCGATGTTATACTTGTTTTATTCATTCATAGGAAGTGGGCTTATTGCCTGTCCCTAGTTGCCCTAGTGAAGGTGGTGGTGAGCTGCCTTCTTGAAAATCTGTAGGAAGACCCACAATACTCTTATTACAGGAATTGCAGGTTTTGACTTAGTGACAGTGAGAGAATGGTAATGTATTATGAAGTCAGGATGGTGAGTGGTTTGGAGGGAAACTTGCAGGTGGTGGTGTTCCAAAGTATCTGCTGCCCTTGTCTCTCTAAATGGAAGTGATCATGGATTTGGTAGGTGCTCTCTACTGATCATTGGCAAATTTCTGCAGTGCATCTTGTAGATAGTACATACCGCTGTTACTGAACAATGGTATACAGGGAACAACAAATACATGGGATTACCACCGCCTGTAAGTCTCCTTCCAAACCACTTGCCATCCAGACTTCAAAATATATCACTGTTCCCCGAGTATTGCTGGGTGAAAACCCTGTAACTCCCTCCCTAATGGTATCATAGGTGTACCTACACCAAATGGACTACAGCAGTTCAAGAGGGCAGCTCACGACCAGCTCTTCAAGGCAACTAGGAATGGGCTTTAAATACTGGCCGAACAAGAGATACTTATTTCCCATGAGTAAATCAAAAGTTTTGAAGGATAGAAGGATTGATTTGAAGGATTGATTTTACCAATATTCTAATGTTCCTGTGGTATTAAATTAATGTTTTTGATGTCACTGAGCTGTGAAGAGTTTTTGTAATTTGTACCCCTTTATTAGTCATAATGTCTTTTCCGTTTTAGGTATTTAGATAAGCTGTGTTTATGGACAACTGTAGTGCTTTGCGGTCTGTGAGTGTGAAAGACAAGAGAAAGGTACCCATCTGCCTTAGCTTTGTGCTGGAAGTTATTCTTCTATTATTTCCAGTCTCTAAATGACCATATTAGCACGTGTTTGAGCAGAAATGGTCTCTTCTCACAATTCTTGAAACGTTCAGTGGTGCCTCATTTCCTGAATAGTAATTCTGTGCGGGGTAACAGCCTGAAGTGGGCTTATTATAGAATGGAATAAGAACAGTTCAAGGACTCAGTCTAGCTCCTTGGTTTCAGCAAAGGGCACTCAGCTCTGATTAAAAAAAAAGTGTTTCCATTTACAGAATGGTGTGAACAGGCATTGA